TCCCTGTGCCGTCCGTGTCCTCCGTGCCGTCGCGGGCCCGGGAGAGCTCTGAGCTGCCGCTGCCCGCCGGCTGGGAGGAGGCGCGCGACTACGACGGCCGCATCTTCTACATCGACCACAACACTCGCCAGACGTCGTGGATCGACCCCCGCGATCGGTAAGGGCTTCGGCGGGGGGCGCGGGCTCGGGCCCCGGCCAGGATTTCGGTTTCCCATCCCTCGGGCCCTGGGAGAGGCTAGAGGACACCGGGAGGCCCCCACGTCCCCAACCCCGGGGCCCTGGCCGAGAATCGAGGCGCCTCCTTTCCCGGCTTCAAGCCCCGGAGTGCGGAGCCCCGGCCTCGTCCCGGCCCCCGCCGCGGGCGGACACTCTTGACTTGGTTCCCTCACGTCACCCGCTGACCGGCGCCTGGGAGCTGGGCGCCTGGAATTTCCTCTGCCGGGGCTGACGGATGGCCCTCTTTTCCTTTTTCCGCGGCGGCCTCGCCCATCCCTGCCGGGCCTCTGTGGCCCACGATCCCCGTCTGTGGCCCTGCAGGCGCTCCGGCCCCGCGGTGGCCAAATGAGCTGTCACCTTGGAGCACAAACGTGCGCCCCAGCTTCGTGGTGAGCGTTCTTTGGCTGGCGGACTTAGCCGAGTTTCCATCCGCAGACCGCTGCCAGACCGGACAGTTTAGGGATCCCCAGTTCTTTGAGAGTTGAGAGAGCCTCTTCCCAAACTGCGAAGGTTACTCTTTAGCGCCTTAAACATTGAGTTAAAATTCTGATTGAAACAGCCTTGTGTACTGCGGCCAGAATGGGTTATGATTAGACCCAGATGCTTTTGGAATAAACGAAACACAAGAGTTGAATTTTAGGTTTCCTTTTTGTGCTAGATATGGATAGGTCGCTAAGTTGTCCCATTTATGTAAAGAAATCCTATGGTGTAAAAAACGGATTATTGCATTTAATGAAGTTCACGTAATGATGCTTTTCCTTAACTTTTTCTATGATTCAGTTGCTTTTGGAGAGATGCATTTTTTGTGTGTGTGTGGCAGTGGGAATTCTGTTGAAACCCAGTGTTTCCAGTGGTTATCTGATATCTCGTCGTATCTGGAGCAACTTTTCTCCACGGCCCTGAGTGCCAGAAAAGAAATACTGCAGGCTTCCCAGTGATTTTAAGACTTTAAAAGGCCCAGTGTGGTGACATCGTGCCTGCTTCCTCCTACCTGCACAGGAAAAGGCAGCGCTGCATGGCACTGGCGTTTGAAAATAAACTTTGGAGGAGGGAAGCTGCTGAATTATTGTTTGAAGATTTCTCTGGGTTCAGATAGGGAAAAAGAAAACAAAGCAAAAGGGTCATAGTTCCCTAATATTCTCTCTGAACTTTGCAAACTTCTGGACTCAGAAACTTCGGTAATCCTAGCATAGTTTTATGGGTTAAAAAGGTGCTTAGTTATTTTGAAAATCAGGTGAGATCATATTATAATTTTAACCAAAGGCTAGAGCCACAGCTGTTTGATCAAGCCTTGGATGGTTCTGGAATTGGTAGAACTACTTGGAATGTGGTGCCCTTTTAGGCTGTATGTCTGTTAAAAACCCAAACAACTGGAAAATGAACCAATTAAAAATACTGTTTTGCTTAGAAAAGGCGAAGGTTCATTTTATGAGGGTAATATAAAACAGTTGTGGTTATACTGGAGTGGGGATTCGTGATGAAAAGTATAAATGTAGGAACTTCCGTTTTTATGGTACGACCCAGGACATAGGTGAGCAGACCCTACAGGAGTGAGCTTGTAGAATCTTCCTTTCTGTGCATTTCGTGCACATTTCCTATGTTTCTCCTTCCAGAAGTCTGTTACCGACTGACATTCTCACCCTTTCAGACATCGCTTATGTTAGAGATTTTTAAAAAGTCCTGTTTCTAATGCTAAAAGTGTCAACCGAGTGAACAAAAGTGGATATTTTACATTTTTTTGTAAAGTAAAAACATGTGTATACTTTTATGAGACATTGTTTTTATAGTGAGTGAAAATTCAGCAGGGGACAGCTTGCACTTCAGCTCCCATAATACCTTGCCCGAAATATGTATGGAATGTTCGGCAAGCCACAAACATTTAAGTGGAGTCTCTGAAGGGTGTAAATGGTGTAATAGTCATTCTTCTTCTTCTTTCAAAACAGAACCCTGCCGATTTTTATAGGTGACTGGGTATCATTTAGAGTTGGAATTGTTTTATTATGTGGAAAAAACTGTGTCGGAGCACAGCATATTCTCCATGTGCATCTGACAGTTAAAACCCTTTTGAGTCACCTTTAATTCACATGACCAGAAAGCAGTATTCAAGAAATTGAGGACTTTCCCTAAACGGCTCCTGAAGTGAAAACTGACAAGAGAGAGGCCATTAAATAGGTTTTTAAAGAAAATGAAATTATGGAGGAATTTGAATGTTAGTAGGTTAGGTGAAAATTATTGCTGACTTAAAACGTTTCATATATAATTTCCTACAAACTGTAATAGCATAAAATAGACTGCTGCAAGCGAAGTAAACGAGGGCCAACAGTTGTAAACAATATCTTCGAGTTTTCTATTCATTCCATTCATTGTTGTGTTTAACAGCATTGGATATTGCCAGCTCAAGGCGTGTTGGTGAATTATTGTAGCTGTACTTTCTTTTTCAACTCACAACAAAGAGGTTGAAAGCCTAAGGAGACATCTTTACAGATGTGGCTGCAGATGTGTAAAACATCTCAGTACTTTCAAGACAGAATTCTTTTAGTTTGATTATGAACCCACCTTAGGCTTAAATTCACTTTCTCTGCGATCAGTACTGTGAGTATAATTTTCGTAGTTTTCTGGGAATCGTATCCAAAAACTTTTCTGCAAAAATATGAAGTTAATTCACCATTTCTGTGGCTGGTAGTTTCTGTGGGTGAGTCGTGTGTGGTTGACATTATGGCACATATGTATTCTACATATGTTAACTCGGAGTTCAGGGACCACTTTATAAAAAGGTATTTACCATTTAGGCAGACATTGTGGGAAGAACGTTTTTGCTTCCTTTGGTAAAATTCAGTGCCTTAGATGGTTGTATATACATAACATGTGCTTCCCGCGGGATCGTGTTGATGTTTTCGGATAGATGGACCGGGTGGCTGAAACTTCATGTTCTGTTTCTTCTAGCTCAGTTTTTATTGCACAGCCCTGGAAATGCCAACCTCGAGCAGCTGAAGAACGGTGGACCATAGCACATTTGAGATCAAAGCAGAGTGTAAACGATCATGATGATGGTGGAAGGCCCAGATGATATCATGACAACAGCTTTTAGGGACCCATTTGTTCATGAGGTGGATTTGACTGTGCCACATGGAGGAATTCTGTGGTATATTAAAAGTCCTTCGGACAGGCTACTGCTTTAAGGAGAAAACAATCCATGGGTCAGGAATTTGCCAGGTTGGAGCCCCACAGAACAGAGCCAGATGACATCATTCGTTGCTACCTTCTTGGAACTTTTCCTTAGTATTGATTAACAGGACATTTACTATATTTACCGCACAGTTTTATTTTGGGATTACATAAACTTTCTGATAAACGAGTAATGATTTCTCAATTTTTCAGTTTTTAAGATTATAGGTAGTGTTTGTATGAACATGGAGGGGCGTCTTGCTTTTAAGGCCATAAGACGTGGGCTCCTGGAAGAATCTTCTTTCTTTTAGATTATCAACAACCACTTCTTGGTCTATTCTTGGTCTAATATCTTTCTTTTTCTTTCCTTCCTTTTTTTTTTTTTTTTAAAAGTGAATGGAAAAGTCATTCATTTCCAAAAATAGCTCCCGGATGTTTGGTTTCCTTTTCTTCCCTTTCACTCTGATTTTGGAAGTGGAAATAATGTGCTTCACCTTCTCTGGTCAGTTCTACTTCAGGAGCCCTTGGGTCAGGTGACATGTTAAAGGTCACCTGGTGAGCTTCTTCTAGCCCAGGTCCTTTTGCTAATGTTGACTGCCTTTCTGATAAATCCAATATAATTAATCTGATGGAATAAAAGCAGAGTTAAGTTCTACCGAGTTCAGTTATTCCCCTTTAAATCCAATAACATGAAGAACTGTTTACAGAGATTCTTAGCCTCCTGTGTGCTGGGATGGTAGATAGAGACATCTGTCTGGGAGATGGGAGACAGACATATAAAATGAAGACAATGATGGTCACCAGGTACCATTAGCAGGTGGCGGTGGTTTCCCAGAAAAGGAGGGAGAGCTTACTTGTGCCTGGGGGCATTTTTATCCTTATCCATCAATCTCCTGGATTGAGGATTTCTCGGGCTTTCTCAGCACCAGAGAAGAAAAGGGGGAACGTGAGAAAAGTGCTGGAGATGAGGAAGTGCTGGTATGTTTGGAATAAATGAGAAAATCGGACGGCTTGACCCAGAGTCTTTGTGTAAGGGAGGTGAGACGCGGGTGTGAGCACATATAACTTAGAAATCCACAGCTTTGGGGTCGGACGAGGTAGGACTGTCTTGTTCATAATCCTCATTTCTCACTTGAGGGCCACAGCCAAGGGGTGTGTCCTTCTGACAGTTAGAAGAACAGGGACTTGAGCGGTGCCTTCTGACCAGGAACCAGTGCTCTTTTCAGTATGCCAGCCAATCCCTACTCAGTTTTAAGCATCCTGCCTCCATTCATTCATTCATTCATTCGATGACTGTTGTGCAGCCACTCAGTCTCAGGCATTCTTCCAGGGTTCAGGACTCCAGCGGTGAGCACCAGCAGACAGATCCCTACCTCCATGGAGCTTACGGATGTGCCGTGCCCTTCCCCCTAAAGCTTCACCATGCCGTTCCTTCCTCTTGGTTTCTCCCCGCTGGAATCCTTTGGGTCTCTGGTTATGGCAGACATATGTGGAGTGCTTGCCATGTGCCAACTGCTCTAGGCATCTGCGTGGATGCTTTCACTGAGAGGCCACAATGGCTGCAGAAGTGTAGGCGGACAGGTGATGAAACTAGGCCAAAGGAGGGTGACTTAGTAACCTTGCTTCCCATAGCCAACTAGGGGCAGTGTCTTTCCAACTCCAGAGTTCGGCCCAGGTCTACTACCTGTGCTTGATCCTCCCTTGACTAGGTAACTGTGCCCCTTGCACCGTATTATACCCACTGGTTATTTTTATCTTGCACTCATCGTTGTTTGA